ATATCTGAAAAATACTCATATATGAAATTGAATAACATTGAAAAGGAATATTCTCAGATAAATTATGAACATGAAATAATGGATATATTTATAAAGAAATACATTGAGAATTCACATCCTCTATGTGATGGAAATATGAACTCTTCCTCGGCTTATTCAATAAAAAACAACTACTTTCCTGGCTATATGCCACGACGAACATTGAATTATATCTATTGAACACACACCATAAGAATTTGAAAACATAATCTTCTGAAGTTAAGAATTTGCATTCTCCCTCAAATAAAAATATGTATATGCACATATCATTCTGAATATTCAACAGAAAACTACTTTCCTGGCTATTGGCCACGTCGAACATTGAATTATAGCTGTTGAACATCCAAAAGGAGAGCATGAAAAATAAAAATCTTTTGAAATTGAGAATTGGATTAGGTTTCCTCAATTCAGAATTTCCTTCCACGTCCTGTATGATGAATATCAATTTGTCATACATCCAAGAACAATTAATAACATTGATTTAATTCATGTCATTACTCCTTCTTCACTGATTATGAATTATATTATTTGGATTGCAGAGTCCCTACTCCCGAGGATGCTTCAATAAATAGGTCAAACGTCATCTGATTGAAACAGTAAAGGTTTCAAAAACATACCGTTCTCCCAACCATACTCTACAGGCTGATTAGAATTAATTGTCCGCATTATGGTATCATATATTATTATATTCGCAATAAAAAAAGCGAAACACACATCATACATCCCCGTCTTCTTAATTTTGACAACACTCGAATGACATCTATGAATACCAATGATGTTCATCGATTTTTATTGATTCCAGCGTCACAACAGACTTCTCTCAAGCCCCTGTCAAATCTGACAATTATTGAAAACTAGGCTATTAGCCGAAATGAATGACAAAATTCGACGAATTTGTAAATGACTATCTCCAATAAAATGATGTAGTAGCAATGTGTGATCGTTGTTTTATCATAGGGCAGATATCAACAGATAGCTATATCCTATACGAAAACAACCAATTTGAATCCCTCTATACAGAATCAGTCAGAACTTTTATAACCACTGGAATGTAGACACACGACACACACTGAAATTTGAAAAAGAAGAATCGTAGATTCGTAAATCATCATCGAAAACCAAGGTTTTGGATTGAAAATCGCCAACCTCGAGATGGCATCAACATTTGCTAGTCATTAATGATTAAATCAATCTTTATCTACCCAAACATAAATAATTAATCAGGTGGGATTTGTATTTGTATAGCGCATGCGCTCCTCAACAAAATAAATAGGCTACCAATTAGTAGTAAGTCGGTTTATATTCACCACAGCAAGGTTGAAGAGTGAAAAATTGATGATAATCCTAGACCAAATAGACAATCTATTCAATTCTAATAGGTGCGTGCTCAGCAAAGTCAACCTGTTTACGGTAGATGAATTCAGATTCGTTTCGGTTAGAAAAGTCTTATTGGAACCAAGTTATGCATCAAGGAATTCCTGGGAACAAATGAATATCGTGCTAGTCCAGAAAAAAAACTAAATGACTCTATGTGCGTATTTGTTCGCTCATAGTTTCAGGTAAATAATTGTTCATCTGAAATAGCAAGGAATCCATTTTTTAATGTTCTGGTTACCACGAAAAGAGATATCCTTCAATCTGAGAACCAAGGGAAATGAGGTAGGAATTGGTGTTCTTCTTAAATTTCTGCAGGTTATATGCCTCGGGGAACACCTCCCTATACAATATGTTCCAGAGCCTCGCTGTTCGTTGGATGAACGACTCTTTGGAAAGAGATGTTCTGCAGGTCTCCAAAGTGACCACGAAGGGGTGTGAAGCCTCAACTCGACGGGTTCATCTCGCGGGGACTGTCGAGGGAGGTACAATTGTTGATATTTCAGAAGAGCATCGCCCATGAAAATATCTATAAAATAGAGCCAGATCGCCAACTTTTCTACGGTGTTCCAGAGAAGTGAGTGACTTTGTGAGCGAGGCATCACCCACGAGACCAATTGCCCTTTTTTGGACTTATGGTTCCAGCAAAGCACTTGATGTGGTCGATTTCTCTCAGTGTATTACTCTGGTGAGGTGAAAAAGTTGATAATTTTCAGAAAAACATGAGATGAGATGAGTACATCGCAACATTTGCTATGACATTTCTGAATTGAGTAGCACATCATGTAGCCACTCTGTGGATTTTTCAAAAATCCAATGAACAGTACCCGCGAGATCCTGAACCGTTCCGATACAGCACTGTTGCCTCAGTGATTACATAATGTCCAGGAATGGTGCCTTGGCACTTGTAAAAGACAAAATACAAATGCGAGTTGGAATGCATTCTTTTGGGATTCAAACTAGTTCATGAACGTACTTTCAACAATTACTTTTTGGGAAAGTTACGCATTGCTTGAGAATTTGGAAAAAACTATTGCTCAGGGCGGGGAAAAGTTGATATTTTTCAGAAAAACGCAGAAAATGGCAACAATTATTATGTCATTTCTACACACTATGTAACTACCCTGGGAACCAATAAACAGTTCCTGAGATCAGACCGTTTTGCCTCAGTGATCACATAGTACCTTATTGGCACTTGTAAAATAGAAAATCGAATGAGAGTTTCACTGTCTCATTTTGGGATTCAATCTAGCTAGCGGTACTCCATGATTCCACATCATCGATCAACCTACAGACCAAGAGCATCGGCAGCCAGTAAGCTATGGAGGGCACCATAAAAGAACTGAAGGGAAACATCAAAAAATGAAAGATTTAATAAAAAAAGGGAAAAACGAACAAAATATCTATATAGAGAATCAAATAATATATTATCTCCTAGGGTTCTTTGCGAATTTGTAAGTCACTTTGTCGGCGAAATCGTTCAAGTGTTTGAAAATGTGTTGCCTGTGTACACTCATCATTGCGAGGCCAATGAGTCGAGCTTCAGACATGGTGCTTCTCAACCAGGTTTTGATTCTTCTAAGGCTGCTGAAAGACCTCTCGATTGTACAAGTCGTACAAAGTAAGGCAACAAGGATCTTCAGAGCCTTCACAATTTCAGGAAAAATCTTCAGTTTCCTTGAGGATTTCCACAACACTCAGTTTGATGGATTCTGGTTTTCCTTCCATATTTTTTCCAAAGCTCTATCTTATTTTTGATATTTGTAAGACTGTTATCAGCAGGGTGACTGGTGAACGTTAACCTCTAGGAGTGGGTGGGCGAGGCTGCTCCCCTGGAAGAATTATGCAATATAATTTTTCGTCGACCTCTACAAAAAATGACATACGACGTAGTAGTTTCCGAATGAAAAATCGCCTTTTTTGAAGGCAAGTACTTTCCGGTTGCAAACACTAACTTTTCGTCTGCAAACACTTTTCGTCCGCTGTGGTCACTATGATACGGCACGGTTCGCAAGAACGGCGATTGAGTTGACCAAAACTGTCATTTCCTGTTGTCAAATTAATTATTTACGAAATTCCTTAGATTTCACGTGTGAATAAAACCATGGTGTGAATATAAGTGTTCGAGGTCGAAGTGAAAATTATATGCTCCTCGACGAAAAACTCGGCTGGGCCTCGGCTATCAATTTGCATGCTGACTATATTAGACAGTTTCTTGTCATTGGTACATAAATAACTATTTCCTCATCTGTTAACGCATGATCAATCTTATAAGTGGGTTGGAATTCATGGTCATTTGGTATGTTTTGATCACCACCACATATTTACTTGTGTTGTTGCGATGGTGATTAGAGTTACTTTGTGCACAGATTAACAAACCTTCTGTGCTTTGTGGAACTATAATTTGGTTATAGAGGCGGAGGATATTTTAGTCAACAACTTGGGCCTCCGCCTTTATTTAATATAACCAAAATATAACCTATGTAGATAAATGAAACCATATCAAATTTTTAAATCATGAATATTGTTTAGCAGCCTGATCTTAGTTCATAAACAGTTTGCTCCATTTCAAGAGTAACCACTCTTGTATTTTGGAGTAGAATAAACGATTCAAGAATTTTATTTCAATATGTATACCTATCTTAAAAAGATATATCCAGATTGTCTATGAATTGAGTTTGATTTGTCCTGTGATCGAAATACCATCTAGGAAACTAACTATCTTTAGGTATCATTTTATTTTGAAAACTGATTTCACGTTTTATTTTCAGATGTCTCAAATACCCAAATACAGAATTTTATCAAAATTTCATGCACAGGGTGGGCGAAATTGAAAACTTCTGAAGAGGAAGTCCGATTTTCATATTAGATGACAAATATATAGTGTCGGTGGCTGAGGGTTAATTTTCATGACAGCTCAACGGCTCAACGATGTTCTTTGATAATGTGCATTTTGAAGATTGACTGAAACTCATTCTTTTACAAAAATTCTTTGTTTCCTTAAAACATTCATGATTTTTGTGGTAACAAAAAAATGACAATAAATGAGTTTCAGTCACCTTTCAAAATTGCACATTTTCAAATTACACCTGGTTACTCTGGAACGATGATTGAAACTGATTTGCGGCTTTCATTATTTCATTTATAATGAAAATTGACCCTCAGGCACCAACATTAATTCTCAACTATCTAGTTTGAAAATTGGGCTGCATCTTCAAGTCCCACCCTGTTCATGGAATTCTATGATACCCTGTATGTGGGTATTTGAGGCATTAAAAAATAGAAGATACGGAGGAAGATACACTCAGTTTCCAAAATAAAGTATAATACATAAACCTTTTTGGGATGGAAATGAGAATCTGATCTTTTTTAATAACCGAAATATCGGTTATGCTACAACATCACTCAACTCTTCTCAGATGTATTCAACCGTCTTTTCGAAAAAAAAAAAAAAATAACAATCCCGAAGAGGATTCACTCTTTATCGTTGCTAACAAATCTTTAGAGATTGTTATCTTATATTATCTGCTTTTCTTATTTCCGCAGGGGCCTATACGACTATTGCATGAAGCCTACAAAGAAGCACGATGACATCAGTCACGCTACCTTCAAGTTCTGGTACTCTGAACGGAGGTTATTCTTCGCCGGTGACGGGAGAAATATCAAACAGCAAAGCAGATTTTGACACCCCTCGTTCAAACAAGCGATCCCTCAGTATAACATCCAGCGAGTCGTGCAAAAAACGTCGGAAACAATCCACTCCGATCAGAATCTCGACCACCGAGTCTGAAAGTTCCTCTTGTAATTCCCAGGAAGGTAAGCCTTCTCCAGTAGAACCTAACTTTCCGTGTCCAATTTGTCAAGTATCGTTTCCACAACAAGAATTGCTGCAGAACCACATGATTTGCGATCACCCCGTTGACTGCAAGAAGGAACCAGAGGAGCAGCACCATGTCGCTCAAAATTCCGTTTCTTTCGTAGAACAAACCGATGCATCGATGGGTTTGTCAATGATGAGAACAGATATGCCATGGGTCGATGAAATGCAAGGCAAGGAGTGGATGAGTTCAAATTTAGCCAATATGCCTTTCAACCCAGCCAACCCCTTGTTCATGACATTGCCACAGTTCTCACAGCCAGAGAACATACCCATAAAACCCATCCGAATATTCAATCCAGATGCTTACTGTGATCTATGCAACAAAGAATTCTGCAACAAATATTTCCTGAAGACGCATAAGGCTAACAAACATGGCATCTATATGGACAATTCTTCTTCAGAGTCATTCCAAACCTCGGTGACGTTCCCATCTGTCACAAGTAATATCAAGCTAACTAATCCCGTGCCAAGTGTAGAGTCATCAACGATAAAAAATGAAGCCATTGCTTCAGTAACCAACCCGTTCCATACTTTATTTTCTAACCCTTTCTCGAACCAAGCGAATTTATCAGAGGGTGAGCTTAATGAAAATGTCGCCATCTCAAATGGACGGTCATCTTCGAGCGAAAGCGATAAAATATTTCCAGATGATCAACCTGCCAGAGAAAATCGTAGTCCTAGTATTACACAAACCGAATCTACCTCAGTCAAAAATGAACCAGACATAATGTTTCAAGATACATCCAGCAAACTACCGTCAGATCAAGCTAGCCGTGAATTAGATTTGTCATATCGTCTGAGAAAAATTGGTGTTATGAATCCTAAAGCTTTTTGCGAAATATGTTGCAAAGAATACTGCAACAAGTATTTTTTAAGAACACACAAACTGAAACGTCATGGAATATATATACCTGATGAAAGGGAAAAGTCCGAAAACTGCACCATCAACTTCTCTTCGTCCACCAACGTTCAAACGAGTCCATTGAATCTTATAATGACTGAACAGACAAGTTCAGACAGCAAAACTACCTCTCCTAGTAATATTACTTGTGATATTTGTTGTATAAAATTCCAAAATGCGAGTCTAGCTCACATACACAGTGTCACTGTCCACGGTAAAGTGTTCACTAAAGAGACAGAAGAAACAACTGCACAAGAACCAAGAAAACTACCAGAAATGTTCAAAACTACCGATAAATCTCTAAACGCAGAAGCTATTAGTGAAGATTTACAGAAATTACAAACCATGATTCTCCAACTGAATGAACTGGACCCTAGTAGAGTGGCTCTAGCTTGCACGATGTGCAACAAGGAGTTCGACAATCGATTTTACCTGCATGCTCATATGATGTCGGAGCATGGTATACTGATAGATGAACCGGAAGTTGAAAAATCCAGTGATACCGAAAATATTTCGAATAATAACACAATGTGTGACATTTGTGGTAAAGAGGTTCAGAATGCTGATGAAATGTCTAAACACATACAAAAATTCCACACTAATAACCAACCAATGAATGAAACTTCGAGAGATGACTATACCGGATATAATAGCGGTGAAAAACTGCCGAATAGAATATCAGTATCTAGTGGTGTCATGCCGGAGAGGAGAATTTCGATGAATGTCACACCAACAAGCAGCTACTGCGAAATATGCAACAAAGAATTGTGCAACAAATATTTCATGAAAACGCACATGCAAAGAATGCACGGTATCGAGATTGAAAACGGAGCTCAAATAGGTGGCGTGGTCTGCGACATATGTAACAAGGAGTTATGCAGCAAATACTTTTTACGAGTACACAAACATAACACACACGGCATAATAGAGTATGGAACCAATTTGCTGCCTCCTCGTAAGTCTGAGGGAGAAATTACAACTTTGACACCAACCTCAGCACCCTTAGAAACAGACCCCGCACTCAAACCAGGCGACTTAGCAGATCTGAGTCACAGATACTTCACTCACTTTACCGAAGTATGCACAATTTGTAGCAGGAGGTTCCGAAGCACGAAATGGTTGAAAGCTCATTTAGTCACAGATCATGGTCAAGCTGGAACTGAGAAGTGGGCCGAGATTGAGCACCAGCTTCAGCAAAATCGCGGAGCCAAGCCAGCCACTTCGATCAGTGTTGAAGGAACAAGTCCAAACTTGAAGATTCCAAATGGAGGTCACGACCAACAGCAGAAAACAGGAATACAGAATTTTATATCCAGTCTATTCGGAATTGACGAGAGTAATTCCAAGATGTACCAGTGTTCCTTTTGTCCTTTTACATCACCTTTACTGCCTCTCTTATTTGTTCATGAGAGGTCGCATTCCTTGAATTTAGAAGGAATCCCGATGAAATGTCCTGTGTGTCCTCAAAGTTTCACTGAACGGGAACTTTTACAACGCCACATATTAGCCCAGCACCCGTTCTTGTTGCCCTCTACAATCAAAGAGGAAGATACTGACCAAAAAGAAGTTAAAGAGAGCGGTGAAGAGGCAGAATCTTATAGCGATATGACCAAGCCAGAGCAAACGATGTCTCCCACGACTAGACAGCAAGATTTAATCAAGAACCAGCGGCAGACAACTTCGCCGATAATCCTGAAACCAGTAGAATTGTCCTCTGAGATGGGAAAATCGTTGAATGATGCGGCTAAGAAGATGCAATGGCCAGCGACATATGCCATTCCACAGAATTCAGACCAGGATCCAGAGGACGTAGGGTTCTCTTCAAGACCCGGGTACGTAATGCAGGCTTTTTTATTGGAAGAATCGACTTCCGAGCGTCGGGTTTTGCCCTCGGTTGTTTTTTTACCTATGCTACAGAAACAGCCGGCTCCTATAAGCGTTACTTTTACACTGACCCCGGCCTAACAGATTTCCACACGTAGTTTGCAAACATGTGTTATATTTTTTTAAGAAACAATCGATGGCGATTCCACGACACCTGTGATTTTTTTAATTTTAATTATAATTATTGTATAATCCTAAGTATATAGATATATATGCGATTCCTATATTTGCAAGATACCTCATATATTATGAGAAGGAACATATGAGCACATATTTTTATGCAAATACGGAAAGACTGAGTGAAATTTTTATATAGTCTGTTAATTTTCACTTTAATATATCGAGATACTGATGTTTTGTACGATAAAGCTTTAGGTGATGTTTAAAGAAGTTCCTATTTTATATCTCGATATAATAACCTAGTTCACAAGTATGTACGTATTCAGTTGTTAGATGTAGCTTGCTCAACAGTCAGTTAAAAATGTTCCCCGTACCTAGTCCATGAAACTCAGGGTTTGCTGAAAACGAGTACAATCAGCCACAACGTCTCACAAAACCAAAGAGACGTTATCCTTTCTTGAGTTCCTGACTAGTAGCCTAGGATGAAGATATATCATTATGTTCCCTTGTCCTTTCTCGGATTATGTCAAGTTACTATACACCGACCTTACTTTTCTGTCGCTATACAATATATTTTGAATTGGGGTATTCAATTCCAAACACTATAGTTGGTTTATTTCTTCAGCGTTTGCATTTTAAAAAGTATTCCCTTTTGTTACTTATGGACAGCAATGTACTAGAGGCCGACCAGGTTAACTTTGGGACACCACATGATTCAATGTAGGACTGCCTCGCATTCATACGTGACCACGTGCTGTCTCAAAGTTAACCTGGTCGGCCTGTACCTGAAATTATCATCAGAGGAGTAGGCCTAGTTCAAACAAAATTGTCGGTGAGAAGAATTTTGTATCTGAATACAATATTTTTACATTTTTTTATGGTATTCATCCAAATTAATTGTTATAACTTCATCAGGATTCGTACAAGAATCATCTCTTCTCCGAACATAATAATCATAAGTGACAGAAAATAATGAGGTCTGAAATATTCTTCAAGTTTGATTATGGTTCAGAAACCGTTAACTTATTTGTCCAGTGGTTTTACTTGGTAGTTTATTAATTGTTCCCATAAATTGTTTTTCAGAAGAGGACAGATGAGTTCACGTTTTCATAACTATATTCAAATATTTGTCGACGGTAACTTGACATTTCTATAAATTTTACTCGCATGACGAAAAAATGGTGTTTAGCCACAAAAAAATATCGGGATCCGTCGCCTCGTCATTTGAAAAAATATTTCAAATATATCTTGTCCAACATGGACTTGGCGGCGATGGAATTGCACTCGGCTCATAATTAGTGAAAATTATCAATATTTCATTTCAATGAGTCACAGATAGAAACATGGTATTAAAGCTCACTATTATACATTGTTGATGTTGATGAACCAAAGTATGCTACATGAAACAACAATTCCGAATAAATATGCTCTCAAGAAAGAAAATCAGTGCACTAAAAAACCTCTTGATACTTCCAATTTCGGGTGTGTTCGATATTGTGTATATCAGACAATATTTCGATCCGTTTCCATAAAATATAAACCTAAAAATTTGGTATAAATTATTATAGCTACTAAGAGACTACCTTCCTGAGGAGGCATATATGCTTTCTAATCTTCAGTCCGGCTAGGAGAACCAAGTTTCAATCTCAATTATTTAAATCCTGTATATGAATTACTTTTGAACTGTATATTCGGTTTTTCTAGCCGGATATGATAGGTTGGAAAGTCTTGTGCTTCTTCAGGTACTTTGATAGGTACGATTTACCGTGAAATTTTGATCTTGTTAACGGAGAGATCAAAAACTGTTGCACCAAATTCTGGAACTTTCAGTATTCAACTTGATCAGCGAAAGTACGATATGTTATGCAGCAATTTTTAATTTTTAGTATTTTGAGCCTTCTTTAAACATCTTATTTCAATTCAATTTCAAACTAGAAGCTGAAAATGTACCTTTTGACGTGAATTCAAAATTTCGAATTTGCTTTGTATTGAGTGTACTTAGCATGATTCAAAAAATGATTGAGTACACCATATATGAAAAATATCCTATTCCTTACTTCACATAATTATTATGCATTCAGTATTGCAAAATCTCTCAAAAACATAAATTCATGCTCACCCTGTGTTCTTTAGTAAATCATCATTATTGGATGCAGAGTTGGAAAATATACAGAGTGGTCCGACGAAAAGAATGCACATATCTATTCTTTCTTTTATTTAAAACAAAAATGCTCGGATACGTGGAGTTTGCTATTGCTATTCCTAATGATACCCTATTTGTTGAAATTCACTTGAACAGTTGATGCGAGAACGGTTTTAAGAACATACATTTTACCACTCCCAAAAGTGAAAAATCCTAATGAATTCAAGCAATTGAAGCCCATAAGTATACTTCCAACCTTATCGAAAGTATTTGAAAGGATTATGTATACGCAAATGATATGATAAATGATAAAATATATTTAGACACTCATTCGATAACTCCTCATAACCAATCCTTTCGTAAGGACCATAGCTGTACTACGGCGTTATTAACAGTTGTTGATGACACCGTGTTGGCTGCGGACAAAAATTAACTAATAACTTATTGATTTTTCGAAGGCTTTCGATAGAGTTGATCATGGGACGTTATACAGTATATTGGAATTGATACAGGATCAATAAAATTGAAGAGGAGCTATTTGTCTGATCGATGTCAGAATTGGAGAAGCACAGGGTTCCATATTAGGACCCTTGTTTTTTACAATATACACATCCTCATTCAAGGATTGTTTAAGTAATTGTCAATCTCATGTTTAAGCTGATGATCTGCAAATATATTATTCTTATCCTTGTGTTGAAATCAATAATAACAATAATATTATCAACAATGACCTTCGAGCACGATCAGAAATGGCTGATAAATATTGCATGGAGATTAATATTAATCCTTCCAAATCTCAAGTAATGTTATTTGGACGTAAAATTACCATGCTGCATCTGTTTATTCAAAAATTAATAGTCAGGCACTTATAACTAATGTCACAAAAAACTTGGGCCTCGATTTAGATTCAGATTTACATTTTGTTCAGCATATCACCACGTAATAAGAAGATGTTTAACTAATATAAAATGAATATATAACAATAGACACAATACACATTATATTAGACACGAAAACCAAAGCTGTTCTGTGGGAATCGCTAGTTTTGTCACATATCACATATTGCGACATATTGTATGGACCTTGTCTAACGGCATATCAAAATATTCAGACAAATTAAATGAAGTGGCAACACAGTCGTTACTTGTATGTTAGCACAATGTTTTTATAGATTATAAATACTCAACAAATTACCTTTATATACAACATAAATATCAGGAAAAAAGATAATCTAACGGTATCACAACATAATACCAACTTATATCATAGAAAATTTTCTTATAAGTGTTTTGCAAAGTTCTGAATCTAATCCCGTCTGAATTTAAAAAAATGCCGATCTCCGCAGCAAAATTCCAAATAAAAAAGTAACTACTCTGTCAATCACTTTTTTTTTTCTCTTGGAGCGCACGAAAGGAAGCTCCTGTAAAGTTCGTGTTGTATTTTTTATTCAACTTTTGGAGGTTATAAGTTCTTGTGAATAATTTCCTGGTCCCTAATTTCAAAATCTAATTTGTGATTCTCTTATTGAGATTATTCTAAAATGTGAATCTATTGAGATAATATTGAGAATTGAGATTAATTGTCTATATAGGTATTCATCAGTGTGATATTTATAAAGGTATTTCGGTTATCAGGAATCAAAACATTTACAATTAGTGATACGTTTCAATATGTATTACTTACAACATGCATTACTAATAACAGTGCTTATAAACAAATTAAAAGCTATTAAATTGATTTATTGAAAAGTTTACTCCTGCAAGTTTTGAATATTTTACCCATTTGCTTCCATATCGGAATGGATGTCCCTAAATAAGCGAGCAGTAAGTGTAGAACAACTATTATTTAGAAAATCAATCAATACTTCAACAATTTCTACTCGTTCTGAAATGGAATAAACCAATAACTTTAAAAGCAACTAAACTGAATCAAAGAAGGAACTGAAATAAACGTTCGCCAAAATCATTTTCCTATACACTAATCTGCAGTTGCTATTCAAAAAAAAACGCAAACAGAAACAATAAATGGGGAATTTAGTTGTCATAAAAAACTTTTTAACATTGATTGAAATCCCGCTTTCTTTGAAATGGAGTAATTTGAAAATTATTGTAGTTATTCTGATTCCTAATAATCAAAACTCAATTATATTTTCCGTTATCTCCAAAATTATTGGGTTGATGCTCTAAAAGCCGTTTTCGCATCAACTGTTCAAGTAAATTCCAACAAATAGGGTATCTTTAGAAAGGTAATTTTGTGCGTCTGTTCAAAAGATATCACTCGACCCCACTTTCCATTTGAAATTTTAGGGTTGTGTCAACTCCCCCTCGCTAGGGTTTTGAAGACACAGGCTGAAATATATGTCTGAAATGTGTCCCCCTCAAAAGCAAAATCCACGTGCCCGAGCATTTGAATTCCAAGAAAAGTAGAAAAACTAGGGTATACTTCTCGTTGGACCACTCTGTATATAATTCTTATGGGAAGATGTTCAGTACAATTTATACATGTATTTATGCTCGAGTATGGAATAATTTCGATATTTCTATTGTACTGAAGGTTTACAAAAAACCCTCGGACAGGTTAATTTTTTTTTTTGAAAACACATTATTCTCTGGCCTATATAACACAAATAAACAGGGTGATGGCATGACTGAATAACATTCCGAAATAATTTGTTGATAAAACGTAGAAAATATCTAGGAATATTTCATATTTAGATGGGCAGGTTTTACTTGAAAAAATAATAATCAAATTTATTGGTATATATGATCATGCACGTGGTGGAGCAGTTTTTTTCGAAATTTGATTAGTAGAAAAAGTT